GTATCGCCACGGTGAGGCCGCCCGCGCCGCGCCCCGCTGCAGGCCTCGCCTGGGGCACCGGGGCGGGCCCCCGCCTCCTCCAGAGCGCCCGTTTCCTCCGCGCCACTGGGCAACACACGAGGTCCCGGGGCCCAAACCCGGTCGCGGTACCTCGTAGTCACCCGGAGCGTTCCTAAAAAATGCAGAGGCCCGGGTTCCACCCCGAAGTCCACCCCTGTCTGCCAGGTGTGGAGAGGGGCAGGAGGAAGGGGCCTGGAATCTGAGCTTCTGCCTCTTGAAACGACTTCCCAGGAAATCCAGTCATCCAGCCACAGTGGTAACCTCTGGGCTACGTAGGTGGCTTAGCACCCATCGAAGGATAACATCCCACTAGAAATTAAACTTTGTAAGGTTAGGGACCATGACCTCCCTGTTCCACTGTATAGGCAGCTTTTTGGATAATGCCAGGCCCGTGATAGATGCTCAGAAAATGTTTGCTGGGTATATGACTGCAGCATCCTAAGATCCCACGAGCCTTTCTCATCCCTCCCAGGCTGCTTATGTGGGGAGAGTACTCACACTCCTACTAGGAAAAACGATGATGCTAACTCTCACTGAGCACGTGCGGGGTGCTCGCTGTGCTGGGTGCTTTAATATGCATGATGTTTTTATGTCTACATCAACCCTATTGGAGAGGCGTCATCTGCACTTCACAAGTGAGGACGCTGAGGCTTGGAAATGTGAAGCAGTTTACACAAGGTCACCCAGATAGCGACTGCACCTGGGCTCAGAGTCCACACTCTGATACCAAAGCTGCACCTGTCAATGGGGACATTATATTGTGTTGTGACAATGGATGTGAAGGTGATCTGTGGCCTCTTGGGAGCACTGTGCTAACCAGAGCCACCTCATGCCAGTAGATTAATAACATCAATGCTAATAAGTACAGGTATATTGAGCCCTAACTGGGTGCAGGATGATTTGCTAAGTGCTTAACATGAGTCTTCATAACTAACACATAGATCTTACCCCAGTTTTATCAGTTAGGTGATCAGGACTCACACCAGGTCAAGTAACTTACCTAAGATCCTGTCCTACACTCGTCCCAATTTCTTCCCTTTCAGACATGGTCGCAGTTCTAGGGGAAACCACAGGACACCGTGCCCTGAAGTTCCTCAGGGACCAGATGAAGAGGGATCCAGAGGGTACCCAGATCCTGCAGTAGGTCCCAGCTCTGCCTGGGGGGCGTTGGAAGTATTCTGTGGGGATCTTGCTGTCTCTAGAGTCACACTGTGTCAGCCCTGTTCCTGTAGGGAGCTCTCGATATCCTGGCTGGGGATGGCTGCACAGGCTGGGTGCTGTTTACCTCCAGGCATGCCACACACATAGACACTACGGTGACCCCGTCAGCAGTGCTGTCTGGTGGCCTTGCCCTAGTTCCAGCCTCAGGGCTCTATACCTTCTCCAAGCTCCCGTAGTAAGTGCCAGCTGTACCCCTCGCCCCCTTCTGCAACGCCCTTTGTGATTACCCTGATCACATCCAAGGCCTGCCTGCCTAGACTGTGCCCCTGTAGGCAGGAACCACGGCCTTCTTGTGGCCATCTCCTCAGTCCCTGGCCCCTAGGAGATGCTCCAGCCGGACTTATGGCCCCATTGCTATCCTGCCACTTCGTCTCTTGCAACCTCATTCTAGCCGAACCTTTCACCTGCCTCTGCTGGTGACCTCCCAAAACCTAAGTCCTGCCTTCTGCCTTGCAGGGAGCGTCCCCGAATCTCTCTGTCCACCCTTGACCTGGGCAAGCTCCAGAGCCTGCCTGAGGGCTCCCTTGGCCGAGAATACCTCCGTTTCCTGGATGTGAATGTGAGTTTCCAGCTTCTGTGCATTTGCCCCTCACCAGGCAGGTCAGATGAGTGGCGTGGGAGCGACGTCCCAAGGAAGGAGGAGCCCTGAGTTGCCACCATGAGCAGAAGTGCTTTTCAGTCTCTTGTGCCAGGGCTTTATCATTTTCTATGGGACAGGTGAATGGGCCGGTAACATCGCTCCAGCCGACCAGTCTGCTGGTCAGCATTTGTTAACCTCTTACTGCATACCAGGTGCCAGGCTTGTGCATGATCTCGCTGAGTCTTCCCAATAACCCTATCAAGTATGTTTTATTATTATTTCCCCCCCTTTTTTTTGAGAATTCTCGTTTTCTTAAAATATGTTTTTATCGATTTCAGAGAGAGGAAGGGAGAGAGAGACAGAAACATCAATGATGAGAGTCATTGATTGGCTGCCTCCCGTGTGCCCCCTACTGGGGATCGAGCCCACATCCCGGACATGTGCCCTGACCAGGAATCAAACCGTGACTGCCTGGTTCATAGGGTGATGCTCAACCGCTGAGCCACACCGGCCAGGCTGTTATTCCCTTTTAACAGACGAAACCAAGGCTCAGAGGCGCCAAGCAGCTTGGTGACTTCATACAGCCGGTGTTAGTGGCAGCACCGTACAAACCCAGGTCGTGCTGTTAGCAGCTGCACTCTGTGCCCCACTCCAGAGACAGTGCCTTCGTTCCCTAGGGCATGGCAAGTGGTGGCACGCTCCAGCCCCAGGTGGGGGAGGGTCCCGGTTACTGAGGGAATCCTTCACTTGTTTAGCCTCTGGCATGCGTCCTCCCGTTGTTCCCATCCTGGGGACATAATGGTGAACGAGACAGACGAGATCCCTGCCCTCACGGAGCTAATATTCTGGTCGGGGAGGTAAATAAAGCAGTACAAGGAAGACGTTGTCATATAAAAATTCATATAAAATGTTTATTGAGTGCTTAGAACTTACCAGACAGACACGGTTCACAGCAGTCGGGGTACAGTGAACCAAACCAGCCAGGGCCCCACCTTGTGCAGCTTCCATTCTAGCAGATGGTGCCAGGAGGACAGCAGTCCCCGCAACAGAGGACAAGGGTAGTGGTGGCCCTGGGGGACTTAGAGGGATGGGGCCAGCCCTGAGGAGACACAGGAGGAACAGTCCGAGGGATTGGCAAGTGCAGGGCTCTGTGTGTTTAAGGAAGGGGAGACTGACCCATGTGGCCGCAGAGGAGAAAGTTGGATGAGGCAGCCAGTGGGCTGGGAGGTCAGCCAGCCAGCCCTGCCCGCCGTGGGAAGGAGTCTGTATTTTGTAATCGGAGCAGTAGGAAGCCGCCGAGGTTTCCAAGCAGAAGAGTAACATCTGATTTATAAAAGGACCTTAGGATACAGCTAGGTACCTTCCCTGTCCCCACCCCCACCCGCCAGCGCAGGACCTCTGAAGTGGCCGCCCGGGCAGAGCAGGCGCCGGCCGGCCTGGAGGAGATGCAGGAGAGAGGGAGGGTCTCTCGGGAGCTGGGTTTCTCCACCTCGGTGCTCTGGACTTTTGGGGCTGAGTAGTTCTGCGGGGGTGTCCCGTGCATTGTAGGATATTCAGCAGCCTCCCTGGCCTCTGCCCGCTGGACTCCAGTAGCACCCCCCCCACATCGTAACAGCCACAGATGTCTCCGGACATTGCAGATGTCCACTGGTGGGCAGTTGAGAACCGCTGCTCTAGAAAGTTTTTGTTGTTACTGTTGTTGTTTTTAATCACCTTCACCTGAGGATATTTTTTCCATTGCTTTTCAGAGAGAGTGGAAGGGGGGGAGAGAGAGAGAAACATTGATGTGAGAGAGGCACGTCCATTAGTTGCAAGGCTGGGGATGGAGCCTGCAACCGAGGCACGTGCCCTTGGCCAGAATCAAACCTGGGACCCTTCAGTCCGCAGGCCGACGCTCTAACCGCTGAGCCAAACCAGCCAGGGCTCTAGAAGTTTATTATCCCTGAAAAAAATCACCTGCCCCCATGCTTTCCCGACACTGGCCCCCTCCACATTGTAGACCATCTCCCTCCAGTTTCACCAGGATGTGAATTATTTCATCAACAGGAAACCCACAAGGGTGGCCTGCCCCTCATGTCACCCAGAGAGGGATGGCCCTCTTCTGAAGTTCCCCTGGAGCCTTTTGTCCTGTTACCTTGGGAGGCGATGGGACTTCAGGGGCCCCCCTGGGCACTTCGCCCAGTTACAGCCCCAGGTGTGGCAACAGCCCCAGCCATTGTGACACCTCCAGAGAAGGGAAACCAGCAGCCCACGGAAGGTGAAGTAACACCCCGGAGCCGGCAGAGATTTAGATCAAGGTTCAGTGCGAGGCCGCCCTCCCGGAGGTGGACGTCGGTCGGGAATGTGGCCGGTCACCCCCGTGGCATGGAGATCACAGGCGTGAGCGCTGGAGTTGGGAGTCGCCCAAGTTAGAGTCCTGCCTCTCTTCCCGGCTTTAGGGCCCTGAGCAAGCCGCCTGACCTCGCCGAGGCTCAGATTCCTCATCCGGGAAAGAGGGACCGACTGTCTTCCAGGGCACTCACCTGGCTTGTCAGTAACGGATGTTGAGGCCACAGGCTTTGGAACCCAGCAGACTTGGTTCCGAGTCCCAGCTCAGCCCTTTGATCCGCTGTGTGATCTTGGGCAAGTTACTGAGTCTTTGAGCCTCAGTTCCTTTGTCTGTATCTGCGGCACATCGCAGTGTCTGCCCTCGAGGTGGCCGTGAGCAGGACGTGCGGTGACACACGTGAGGGACAGTGCACGGGGCAGGCGCACAGCAGGGGCTCAGTCAGTGTTGCTGGGTTACTGTGACCACCTTTGGCTTCGTGCAGTAATCCTGTGGACGAAATGGGGACCCAGGGCCCAGGGAGGCCACAGGCAGACCGTGGTCCCGAGCCGGCTGCCTCAAAGCAGTGGAGACGCAGCCTCCCAACCTCTGGCCAGGCCGGGGCCACCATTCTGTTCCCACTCTGTCTGGGTGCTGCTGGGGACTCCGAGGCAGCGGGTGGGTAAAAGGGGGCAGCTGACATTCCTGCCTGGGGCTGGAGAAGTGCCTGGGGTGGCCTTTTACCCATGCGCTCCAGAGATGGTTTGTCACCTGGGCCCTAAAGATAAAACAGCAAAATAGCCAGCCCTGGCCCAGCCGGGCGTGGCTCAGCCGTTGAGCATCGATCGACCTGGGATCCAGGCGATCGGGGTTCGATTCCCGGTCAGGGCACATGCCCGGGTTGGGGGCTCGGTCAATGACTCTCTCATCATTGATGTTTCCATCTCTCTCCCTCTCCTTTCCTCTCTCTGAAATCAATAAAGATATATTTTTAGAAAAGAAAAAAAAAAAATAGCCAGCCCCGGCCCTGTGCTGCTGACGGGCTGCTGCAGCTCCGTTCACAGGAACAGAGTCCCAGCCACGGAGGGAATGTAAAGCCTGCGCCCAGCTACGTTAACAAAGCAAAAAGGAACCGGCGGCATGAAATTCTTTACAGATGCTTTTATTGACTTTAGAGAGGAAGGGAGAGGAAGAGATGGAAGCACTGAGGAGAGAGGAACGCCCGTGGGCTGCCTCCCGCACGGCCCCCACTGGGGTCGAACCCGAACCCCAGGCGTGTGCCCTGACCGGGAACGGGAATCGAAGCGCGACCTCCTGGTCCAGAGGTCGATGCTCAGCCGCTGGGCCTCGCCAGCCGGGCCCGTCTCCTCCGTTTCTAAACGGCCGCTCAGTAGCGCCGAGTCTGCTCACGCGGTTGTCTCCAGAGCTTTTAAAACGGAAACTCTCTACCCATCAAACTCCCGCCCCCCTCCCACTGGGGCTTCTTTACCGGGGATCCCTGCAGGTTACGTGTGAGTCGTTAGGTATGAGTCGTTAGGTGTGAGCTGGGCTGAGGGGTTGCCGATGGCACCGTGTTCCCTGCCCGAGGCCCCGTCAGCGGGTGCAGATGGAGGCAAAGGCCCCGGAGAGCTTGGGGGCCGAGTTTGGTGGGAGCAGTTGACAGAGTGGAGGAGAGGCGGGCAGCTGGGCCTCGGGGACCGTGGGGAAGGGGTCTAGGGGAATCCGTGGCTGTCAGAGGGTCTCCCCAGATACCCGAGCGCCCACCCGGTTCGTGGACGAGGAGGAGCTGGCCTACGTGATCCAGCGGTACCGGGAGGTGCACGACATGCTGCACACGCTGCTGGGGATGCCCACCAACATGCTGGGTGAGTCCACCGCGCCGGGCGCCCCGGCAAGCCCGTCCACCGGCGTCTGTTCAGGGCCAGGGCAGGGCTTGCCCGTCTCTGCCCCCCGCCAGCTAGCTGGCTTGGTGCCTCGTGTTTCGGCTTTACCGGAACATCTTGGCTGCCCCTGTGCCATCCCTACTGCCTGTCGCGGCTCCTGCACACACACGATAGCGTCCAGACATCAGGGCTTCCTCTCCTGGCCCCCTCAGGCGCTCCCTAAAGCCTGGAGGCACTGGCCTGGCTGTCCAGTCCTCTGCATTCGGACCCCAAGCTTCCTCTCCCGCCCTTCTTTCCTTTGGCTCTGTCTTGGGCTCTCTCCTCCCTTGCAAGCCAAGTGCCCCAGGGCACAGCACTGCCCAGACTGGGGATGGCTGACCCCCCGTAGAGAAGAGACACCTTAGAGAGAAGCAGGCACCTCCCTGTCCCTTGCCAGGAGCACCTCTGGCCTCTCGTCCTGGCCCCTCCTCACCCCCCACCCCGCCCCCCAGGAGAGATCGTGGTGAAGTGGTTTGAGGCTGTCCAGACCGGCCTGCCCATGTGCATCCTGGGCGCACTCTTCGGACCAGTGCGACTCAGTGCCCAGTAAGTTCTCCAGGGGCGAGGGGTCAGGGGAGAGCTCAGAGGGGCCAGGCCGCTGGAGGTGGAGGAGCACCCAGCCTTCCTACCAGCCTCCGTGGTCCTGCCGAAGCCGGGGTGGGAAGAACAGGCGGAGAGCTGACCCTGGCCTGGCGCAGGGCCTCCCGGACAGCAGATGAGGCCTGGGCACTTCCTGGGACCCTGGGGTCTCTTGGGCTGGGCCTCAGCACGAGGTCAGAGCCCCCGATTTAAACCTGGGCTTCGGCACGGTCAAGATGTGGCTTCGGGCGCTTCGGGTGCTTCGGGCACAGGTTCTAACCTCGAGCGTCCTTTTGCTCACTTGAAAATCGGTGATAACTCCCTTCGTCCTGGGTCAGTGTGGGGATCAGCTGAGAAAACGCACACGGGCTGCTGGGCACACAGCGCACCCGGCTCAGGACCTTCTGTTCCCTTCTCCCTCTGCTGCCCACAGGCACCTGCAAGTGCTGGTCTCGGAGCTGGGTCCGTGGGCGGTTCAGAATGGGCGCCGGGCGCCCTGTGTCCTCAACGTGTACTTCGAGCGGCGCTGGGAGCAGCCCCTGACGGCCCTGCGGGCGGAGTTGGGCATCACCGAGCCCCCCAGGCACTTCTAGGGCCTGGCCTAGGCCTGGGCTGTGGCTGGCTCCCCACCCGCACCCCACCCACTTCCCCAGGGCAGAGGCTCCTCCGCCACCACCTTTTTTCCTCTTCTGCCAGCGCTGACCCTTGGACGTATTTATCAGGATTTGTCATAACGTTGCCGAGTGGCCTTGGGGCTGGCACAGGAGGGAGAGGGCAGTGCAGCGGGGCTCCCAGGGAGTCGAGCGCCCAAGAGAACCACACGGAGCAGGACCCTGCCGTCTGGACTCGGGCTGGGATGTTCCTGCCCACACCCCTGGCGCAGAGCCTCCCGCCGGCCAGGCTTTCTGGGGCAGGCCGGGTGTCCTCCTGGGATCGGGGACAGTGCCCAGTTCCAAAGGCCGGAGGAGAGGGGGAAAGGAGTCTCCACGGTGAAGAAAGGCTCTGGTCCCATCAGGTCCTGCTTCGCCTGCCTTGGTCCCGTACTGGCTGACCCCGGCCGCCTCGGGCCTTGGAGCCCCGAGAGGAAACATCCCCTCCAGCCTGTGCTTCAGCTGCTTGGCCCATCTCTGCCCTGAAGCTGGGCAAACGGATTCAAGCTTCCGACTCCTCTACGGTTCTCTAGTGGAGGGCAGGGGGCAAGTCCCGTCCCCTCGGCCACTTCATCAGTAAGAGGGGAACGGAAACAGCGCCGCCTCCCGTGGCCAGTGTGGGGGTTTCAGGGGACCCTCAGCAGGAGGGCTTCCGAGGAAGGACCCCAGAGGCAGGCGGGGGAGGCCGCGTGAGACTGCGGGCCGGGGCCACGGAGAGAGGACAGGCGGGTGAAAGGGACTGTTGGAGAGTGGGTGGCCCTGTCTTTGGATTTAGAGGCAGACACACTGCGAGAATGGCAGGGCACTCGGTTCCGGGGGGCCAGTTCCTCCTCATGAGGAACGGGCAACGAAGGCCCAGAGGTGGGCAAGGGCCTGCCTGGGACACAGGTTGCAAGGCCTCCTGCTCGGTTCCCGGGCAGGGCACCTGCCTGCGTGCAGGAGGCGGCCAGCCAGTGACCACGACTCTCATCATTGACGTTTCCCTCTCTCCCTCTCCCTTCCTCTCTCTGAAACCAATAAAGATATACTTTTAAAAAAAGAGATGAGTGCTGGGGTTGGGGTGGGGGTGTAAAGTCCTGTTTCCAGATCATAAGGTGGCAGTTTTGTCACCAGCTGGAGGAAAATGACACCGGCAATAGCTACCACCCCAACTGCGCTCCTGCCCCAGCCGCGAGGTCCTGGGTCCTGTCGACTTCTGCCCCGAGGCTTACGTTCCCCTCGATAGATTCTGTTGGCCTTTCTCCTGTCTCTGTTCCCTGTCATCACACAGTCGGCTCCTTGTCATTCACACCTGTGCTCAGGTCACCTCTAGAGCGGCTCCCCCGCCACGTGGCCGGAGGCAGCCCCGCCCCTTTACGCCACCACATCCCCGCGTCTAGAGCGCTCCCCGCTCTGAAATTACGGTTTTTGTAATTTTTTATTTAAAAACATATATTTATTTTTTGAGAGAGAGAGAGAAACACTGGTTGATGCTCCCCTCGTTCACGCCGTCCCTGGCCGATTCTGTACGCGCCCTGACCGGGGGTGGAGCCTGCAACCCCGGTGTGTGGGGCGATGCTCTAATCAACCAAGCCGCCCGGCGGGGCTGCCAGATGATCCTGTTTGTCCATTTTCAAGCCCCGCGTCTGCTGCACAGGACGCTGGGGTCTCGCGTCCCCTCCCACCGTCTGCCTGACAGGAGCCCCCGTGTGGCTGATCCCAGAGCCGGGCCTGAGGACACAGGCTCCGCAGGCAGGCTGGCCGCCCCCCCACAGCCCCGAGCCTCTATGTTCTCACCTGTAGGGGGGACAGTATGCGCCTGTCCCAGACCAGGGCCGCGTGCGTGTCGGGCCCCAGCTCACAGTGAACACCGAGGACGAGGAGGCCATCCTTTGACAGGAAGGCCCTTCGAGGCCTCTGAGGTCACCGTGTACAAACAAGCCAGAGGTATTTGCCTCTCCCATACCCAGAGTGGGAGGCCTGGCACAACGCGGGGGTCGCTGCCAAGTACAGCTGAATGCCGGTGGGGTGAGCGCCTGCCGCGTGCCAGGGGTCAAACCGCTCCGCTCAGCGAGTCCAAATGTCAGGCTCGATATGTCTGGAGATCCGAGCGCCGTTGTCAGTTCCCTGACGCGTCACCGGTTCAGTTCCCGGTCAGGGCAGGTGCCTGGTGGGTATTGCCAGAAGTGCAGTGAGCACTCGGTAGGGACAACGTCATCTGGTGGCCTCATCTCCACCCGCCCTCTCCGTGTGTCCAACTGGACTCTGAGCAACTCCAGGACAGACTGTCTTGTTTCCTCAACGTCAGTCGACCTACCCCTCAGACGGGCCCAGCGTCACCCAGTGTCACCCAGCGTCGGTGGGTTTACTGCTTCGGCTTCACCAATGTGACCGGCCTGGGTGGAGGAAAACAGGGGGACTGGTTGCCGCCTCCAAATTCTCACCTGCCTTCTTTTCCCGTGCATATGGCCTCAGCAGCTGATGCGGAAATGATCGCAGTTATCCCCCCAGCTCCTGGCGTGGGTAAGCGCAGCGCCTCCAACTCACTCCCCATCTCCACCGTCTAGATTTTGTAGGTGCTCTGTGGTCAGCGAGCCCGTCCAGTGCTAATTCAGACGCTGCCTGTGACTCTCCGAACAAACCCTGTGAGGCAATCACCATTAGCATGTCCCCGATTTTACACCTAAGAAGGAATGGAGACTTTGAACTTTCAACTGGGAAGATGACCTGGCTGTTGGGGGCCACACCCATAAGCGCTGTGCAACGCGGCTTCCTGACTGTCACACCCCTGGCGAGGGCGGTGCTTCCACTCACCCAGCTCCCCTGAAGGAGGCACCCTGTACTCTGGAAGAAATAGGTCCAAATACTTATCCGGCCAAATTTTCTTTTTTTTTTCCCCTTTGTTAATCCCACCCAAGGATATTTTTTCCACTGATTTTTTTTTTTAGCGAGAGTGGAAGAGAGGGGGAGAGACAGAGAGAAACAGGGATGTGAGACAGACACATCGACTGGTTGCCTCCCGCATGCACCCCTGACCGGGATCGGGGATCAAGCCTGCAACCAACATACGCGCCCTTGACCGGAATGGAACGAACCCCCGACCCTTCAGTCCGAGGGCTGACGTGCTAACCACTGAGCCAAAACAGGTAGGACTTTCCATGGATTTTTAGAGAGTGGAAGGGAGGGGGGAGAGAGAGAGAGAAACATCCATGTGAGAGAGAAACATCAATTGGTTGCCTCCCGCACCCACCCCGACTGGGGCTGAGGGTTGAACCTGCAACACAGGTACGTGCCCTTGACCGGGAACCAAACCTGCCACCCTCCGGCGCTCAGGCCACCGCTCTAACCACTGAGCCACGCCCGGCCGGGCCAGATTTCCATTTGTAATCCCAATGAGTAGACCCTGAAAACTCCCCCTGCCCCTGCCCCTGCCCCAGCTTAGGACTTCTACGGGACCAAGGGTTTAAGGGACCTCTTATTCAAAGACAGACGGCCACGGCAGATGACCGACAAGGGTCGATGATGGCGGGACCATGTCCCCAGAGGCCCAGAGCTGCTCAGGCCTGGGGAGCTGGCCAGTGGCCCAGGGCTCAGCAGGTGGCGCAACAGATAGGGTCACTGGCTTGCAGGGCTGATTTCCTGCGGGGTTCAGAGCGCCCAGAGGTTTCCAGGTCTGCGCCCTTTGTACCATCAGGTGTGCCGCCTGTTTACAAGATACCATGGACGGGCACGGGTGCTTACTCATAACCCGGCTGCCAGGCTTACTGCCCCAGAAGCGGAGGTGAGAGGCGCCCGGGTCTGCAGGTCTCCTGAACCTCCCAGAGGTACTGTGGCCGTCAAACATCCCAATGGGACTGAGGGAGGACTGGACTCTGGCGGGACTCGAACCCACAACCTCTGAGTCCCCGGTGCAAGCTCAGCCAGCAGTGCATGCACCAGCCTGTCCTGGGGTGCATGCCGGCCCCCTGTCTGCCCGAAGCCACCCCTTTAGCTCTCTGCCAGGCGTGGCCTCCGGGTCTAGGCGCCGGGACCCCGGGGGCTC